TTTAAATTCACATTTGAAGCTCCAGAATCTTCTAAGATTTATCCCCAAAGACAAACAATAATATAAGATAGCATGGCTGCTATATAACAATGACTTTGAATTTATTGCTTTAGGATGAATGAATTCTTTTTTTTTAGTCTACTTTAAATGTTTTTGTTTTTATTTTTTTATAGTATTTTTTTTTTACAAATAGTTTATTGTCAAGTTGGTTTCCGTCTAACACCCAGTGCTCATCCCTAAAAGTGCCCTCCTCCATGCCCAACTCCCCCCTCACCCCCACACCCATCAGTCCTCAGTTTGTTCTCATTCAATAGTCTCTCATGGTTTGCCTCCCTCCCTCTCCCCCACTATTTCCCCCCTTCTTCTCCCTCATGGTCTTCCATTAAGTTCCTCCTAATCATCCTATATGTGCAAACATATGTTATTTGTCCTTCTCTGCCTGACTTATTTCTCTCAGCATAACACCCTCAAGGTCCATCCATGTTGCTACACATGGCCAGATTTCATTCTTTCTCATTGCCATGTAGTATTCCATCGTATAGATAAACCACATCTTCTTGATCCATTCGTCAGTTGATGGACACTTAGGATCTTTCCATGTTTTGGCTGTTGTTGAGAGTGCTGCTATGAACATTGGGGTACATGTGCTCCTATGCATCAGCACTCCTGTATCCCTTGGGTAAATTCCCAGCAGTGCTATTGCTGGGTCATAGGGGAGTTCTATGGTTAACTTTTTGAGGAACCTCCACACTGTTTTCCAGAGGGGCTGCACCAGTTTACATTCCCACCAACAGTGTAGGAGGGTGCCCGTTTCTCCACATCCTCACCAGCATCTAGAGTTCTCGGATTTGCTCATTTTAGCCACTCTGACTGGCGTGAGGTGGTATCTCAGTGTGGTTTTGATTTGTATTTCCCTGATGAGGAGCGATGCTGAGCATCGTTTCATGTGTCTGTTGGCCATCTGGATGTCCTCTTTGGAGAAGTGTCTGTTCATATCTTCTGCCCATTTCTTCACTGGGTTGTTTTTCGGGTGTGGAGTTTGGTGAGTTCCTTATAGATTTTGGATATTAACCCTTTACCTGATATGTCATTTGCAACTATCTTTTCACATTCCATTGGTTGCCTATTAGTTTTCTTGATTGTTTCCTTTGCCGTGCAGAAGCTTTTAATCTTGATGAGGTCCCAATCGATTATTTTTGCTCTTGATTCCCTTGCCTTTGGGGATGTGTCAAGTAAGAAGTTGCTGCGGTGGAGGTCAAGGAGGTTGTTTCCTGCTTTCCCCTCTAAGGTTTTGATGGTCTCATGTTTAGGTCCTTTATCCATTTTGAGTTTATTTTTGTGCATGGTGTGAGAAAATGATCTAGTTTCATTCTTCTGCATGTTGCTGTCCAGTTCTCCCAACACCATCTGTTAAAGAGGCTGTCTTTTTTCCACTGGATATTCTTTCCTGCTTTGTCAAAGATTAATTGGCTGTACACTTCTGGGTCCAATTCTGAGTTCTCTATTCTGTTCCATTGGTCTATGTGTCTGTTTTTGTGCCAAAACCATACTGTCTTGATGATGTCAGCTTTGTAGTAGAGGCTAAAGTCTGGGATGGTGATACCTCCCATTTTGGTTTTATTCTTCAGTATTACTTTGGCTATTTGGGGTCTTTTGTGGTTCCATACAAATTTTAGGATAGTTCTAGTTTTGAGAAGTATGCTTGTGCAATTTTGATTGGGATTGCATTGAATGTGTAGATTGCTTTGGGTAGTAATGACATTTTAACAATATTTATTCTTCTGATCCATGAGCATGGAATGTTTTTCCATTTCTTTGTGTCTTCAATTTCCTTCATAAGTTTTCTATAGTTTTCATCACACAGATCTCTTGTATCCTTGGTTAGGTTTATCCCTAGGTATTTTATGTTTTTTTTTTTGTGCAATTGTGAATGGGATCAGTTTCTTGATTTCTCTTCATTGCTTCATTATTGGTGTATAAAAATGCAACCGATTTTTTTTTTTTTATTTCTAGGAGAGAGAGAGAGAGAGAGAGACAGCGTGAGCAGGGGAGGGTCAGAGAGAGAGAGAGAGGGAGTCACAGACTGAAACAGGCTCCAGACTCTGAGCTGGCAGTCAGCACAGAGCCTGATGCGGGGCTCGAACCCACGAACGGCAAGATCATGACCCAAGCGAAAGTCGGACGCTTAACCGACTAAGCCACCCAGGCGCCCCTTTTTTTTTTAAGTTTTTTTTTTTACTTAAAAATGCAACCGATTTCCGTATGTTGATTTTGTACCCTGCAACTTTGCTGAATTCTTGGATCAGTTCTAGTATAGGCTTCTGGTGGAGTCTATCGGGTTTTCTATGTAGAGTATCATGTCTTCTGCGAAAAGTGAAAGTTTGACTTCTTCTTTGCCAATTCTGATGCCTTTTATTTCCTTTTGTTGTCTGATTTCTGATGCTAGGATTTCCAGCACTATGTTAATCAACAGTGGTGATAGTGGACATCCCTGTCATGTTCCTGATCTCAGGGGGAAAGCTCTCAGTTTTTCCCCGTTGACGAAGATGTTAGCTGAGGGCTTCTCATAGATGGCTTTTAGGATGTTTAAGAAAGTTCCTTCTATCCTGACTTTCTCTAGAGTCTTTAATAAGAAGGGAATAGGCATCAAAGTTTTGCCTGATTTCTATAAAACCTACAGCCAGATGGGGTGGTGGTAGCTGAGCCAGCATGAGCACAGATTGTATATACCAATGACACGGTGTGGTTGGCTGACTTGTGTGGAGCCAACAAGAGCAAGGATGGAGATAGCAGCATCCTTAGGGAAGCCGATCATGGAAATGAAGGTCCTCACTCCCCAACATAGGACTTGTGTTTCCCAGTTCAGTGCCCTTGCCCCTTGCAGTGGTGTGTGTGGTGTCTCGGCCTCCCCTGCTCCCACCTCTCCCAGGGGCTGTGGACTTACATGACTGCTGGGGAAAAGAACATCCTGACCTACGACAGCCTCGCAGTACCCACCTACTAGAAAATACTGCGTATATACACAGGAAGTTTTAGCCTACATAAAAATCTTATGGTGAGCAATCCCATAATAGGCCATTTGAAAAGGGGATCCCTGGTCAATTTCTACTTAGGCCAAAGCCAGTGGAATGAATACAACAATGTGTTTCGCTGTCGATTCTCAGATCCCTTTAGCTTTAACAACCCTTGACTCCATGTAACCTGCATCTTTACCACAACCCACTTCCTGCCTGCCAGACACTTTACAAACCTGAGACCACAAGCCTCACACAACTTTTTGTGCAGGAAGCCAGAGTTCAGAGAGGGCCAGAAAACTTGTCTAGAGACATAGCCAATTAGTGGAAGAGATAGGATCTGAACCCAGGTCCCCAAAGACCAAAGGGGCAGGAAAGGTCCTACTGAGGAAAGAGTTACATGCAGTAGTTTGTGTTGGACAAGGGAACTAAAGACTCTGTAAAGAAAAACACTGAGCCAATAGGAAACCCAGACAACCAAGGCAATGCTAGGTTTTACTGAGGAAGGTCCTAGTCGTCTCTGTTCAAGTAAAGGCATCGACAGGAGAGAGCTGGCACCAATCACGCTCCCCTCTTTCAGTTGCCACCACTGGCTTCCACGCATGTTGTTTTCCTTCTGGGCCAATGACCACACTCGTGCATTTGATTTTTATTTTCGGAAAGTTATCATTCAGCCCAGTTTGCCGAGCAGACTACATAATCAAGGCGTCTTAGACAATGTTAATCATGAAATCTTACCATCATCTGCAAAACGCAGGCTAGGCTGTTTATAAGAACACAAATGTCCTGAATCGTATCTTGAGAATTATTCACCATCGCCCACCAGAAAAGGGCAAAGTGGTGCCCTCCTGAAAATGTAGATCACTTTTCTTTAACTTTTTAATGTTTTATTTATTTTTGAGAGGGAGAGAAAGACAGCGTGAGCAGGGGAGGGTCAGAGAGAGAGGGAGACACAGAATCTGAAACAGCCTCCAGGCTCTGAGCTAGCTGTCAGCACAGAGCCCAATGCGGGGCTCAAACCCACAAACCGTGAGATCATGACCTGAGCCAAAGTCGGTCTTAACCGACTGAGCCACCCAGGCACCCCCTGGATCACTTTTTAGGAAAGCTTCCCAAAACCTTAACAATTGTGGTTATGCTAATAGCTCTTTAGGTAACACAATCTGTGCTACGTCAGCTAGGAGTCAACGGGCCAGAAGTTGACAGGTAAATCACACCCTTGCTGTTGCTATTTGTGAGGATACCTTCACGTCCCAAACTGCACCTCAGAGGCTCTTACCACTGTGTTCATACTGCAGTGCACATGTATGAAGAGACTTGCAACCAGTACTACACCAAATCGGCACAGTCAATACTGCAAGTCATTTTCAACGCAGAATGTCCATATATCCAGACTTTAACCATATGTGTGTGACAAAGCCAAGATATCCCACCATGCCAATAAAAAGTGGGAGGGGTAGTTTTAACACATCATTATATACGCTGTTATTATTTCTGGTGAAGACAGCGCAGCCCATACACATTTAGGGGCAGAGGAACCCTCAGATGTTGGAAGCCAGACCTGGAATTTCCAGGCCCCATCATGCGGAGAGCTTACCTTCTCCCCTGCCAGACACCTGCTAGTTGCGAATACGAAGTTCATTCCAATCGCTCTGCATTAAGAATCTCACTGCCCCTGACAGCCCACACGTGAAGATTCGCTGTGCCTGCGTGGCAGCACAGGGCCCATAAGGGGCTGCACCGGTCCGTCCCCCAAAAGCCCTCATGATATTACTTATTTAACTACATTCGAGGAATTAGAGGGGAAGAGCTGAGGCAAGCAGGGAGTCTAATGTCCTCAACCAGTCACTGCAACGCTGGTCATGCCACAAGCAGAGGAAGAAGCATGTGACCGAGCTCTAATCGCCTGTGCCTCACTCTTCGGCGTCTTCCCTCCAACGGGTCTTCACTGCCGACACCACCTGTCTGCAAAGGCTCTCAGGGTCTCTGTCTTAACCAAGTGGCTCAAGCTAGTTTTAATCTTTTCCATCAGGATCCCAATAGGATCCAGCTGCAAATAGATACCCTTGGGAATGCAGCAGCAGAGGAACCCAGGAAGATACAGAAACAGAAAGGTTAGGAGAAGTGGCCCCTGGTGTTGAGTTAGAGACCAAGGGTCCAGGCTGCTGCCAGCAGCGGGGTCACCAGCAGAGCCATCTTCGCGGAGACACTGGTGCCAGGGCTCCCGTTACACAGGTCACGCTGGCAGCAGTTGTACTGCAGCTTCTGAAGCCCTAAAGAAGTCGAGATGCGCTCGTAACTGCAGTCCGCAAACTTCCAGCACTGGTAGAAGTACGTTTTGGGCCCTGTGGGGGAGACACACACACAAGGATGAGCGAGCAAGTGGGTAAAGTTCTGCGCCTGCCTTCGAACTCTGGATTCTACTTGTTAGAATATCTCAGCTCTGTGGGGAAGTAGAGACATCCGGGCAAGAATACGTATCCTAGAGGCGCCGGGGTGGCTCAGTCGGTTAAGCGTCCGACTTCGGCTCAGGTCATGATCTCACGGTTGGTGGGTTCGGGCCCTGCGTCGGGCTCTGTGCTGACAGCTAGCTCAGAGCCTGGAGTCTGTTTCAGATTCTGTGTCTCCCTCCCTCTCTGACCCTCCCCTGCTCACGCTCTCTCTCTCTCTCTCTCTCTCAGAAATAAAAAAAAGAATTAAAAAAAGATAAAAAAAGAATACGTATCCCAGTCGAGCTGTAAAGGGGAATGATTCAGCAAATGAGGATACGGCTCAAGATGGAATGTGTCCCTAAAATCAAAGTCTCGTGAGAGTCCGCACAGCTGTGTGTGGTGGGAGCCAAGAGGCGATTGTACTGAGGTTTTAGAGGTTTGCTAAGACTGTTAAACACATGCTCCCTTTGATCCAACAATCCTACTTCTAGAATTTGCTCTATGAAGTTCCTTGTGAAAAAAGGTTAAGAGAGATCCTCAAGAATGGTCATTGCAGGGGCGCCTGGGTGGCTCAGTCAGTTAAGCAATCAACTTCGGCTCAGGTCATGATCTCATGATTCGTGGGTTTGAGCCCCACATCAGGCTCTGTGCTGTCAGCTAGCTCAGAGCCTGGATCCTGCTTCGGATTCTGTATCTCCCTCTCTCTCTGATCCTCCCCTGTTCACGCTGTCTCTCTCTCTCTCACAAAAACATTAAAAAATTAAAAAAAAAAAAAAAAGAATGGTCACTGCAGTACTGTAACAGTGAGAAGCTAAAAGAAAAATCAGTCCATTAATTAAAAAAAAAAAGACATTTGAAATCAGGGTAGAGTTCCATACAATGGGATTCCACATAGATAAGAAACCTATGTAGGCCTGCATGTGTTGAAGTGGAGTCTGAAGTGTTTTTAAGTTTATTTATTTACTTTGAAAAAAAAGAGAGAGAGAGAGAGAGAGAGAGAGAGGATCCCAAGCAGGCTTCACTCAGTGCTGAGCCTGATGCAGGGCTCAAACTCATGACCCATGAGATCATGACGTAAGCGGAAATCTAGAGTCAGAAGCTTAACTGACTGAGCCCCCAGGTGCCCCCTCCCCCCGGTAAATATATCCAGGAGAAATGAAAACTATGTTCATACAGAAGCTCGTACATGAATGTTCATACTACTATTATTTAAAATAGCTAAAAAGTGGGCCCCTGGCTGTCTCAGTTGGTTAAGCATCCAACTCTGGCTCAGGTCATGATCTCACGGTCTGTGAGTTCAAGCCCCATGATGGGCTCTGTGCTGGCAGCTCAGAGCCTGGAGCCTGCTGCAGATTCTGTGTCTCCCTCTCTCTGCCCTGCTCACACCCTGTCTCTTTCTGTCTCTCTCAAGAATAAACATTTAAAAAAATAATAAAAAATAGCTAAGAAGTGGAGACCCAGATGTCCATTAATTGATGAATGGATAAATAAAATGTGGTCTATTCATACACTGGAATATCATTTGGCCATAAAAACGAATGGAAGTACTGAAAACGTGCAATAACACGGGTGAACCTTAAACACATTATGCTTAGTGAAAGAAACCAGTCACAAAGGCCACTAATACTGTAGGATTCAGTTTATATTAAATGTCCAGCACAGGCAAATCCATGGGGACAGCAGGGAGATTAGGAACCACAGGGTTATGTGGGAGGGAGGAATGGGAAGAGACTGCTCATGGGTAAGGGCTTTCTTTTCGGGATAAAACTATTCAGGAGTTAGGTATGACAGTTGCACAACCTTGTGAATACACTAAAAGTCATTGCATTGTATTATTTTAAATTGTATGTGAATTATATCTCAATAGAATGGATGTAGGACAGGATGTAGAATGAGAGCCATCTGTGTAAATAAAGTGTATGTATGTATTTCTGGAAAAATTCCCAAGGAATTTAACAATGTTACCTTCACAGAAGATTATCTTTGATTTATATATTTCTTATGCACCAAGATTTTTAAAGTCATTGGATGCTTTTTAAAATATTTTAAACTTCATTTAAAAGTCCTTAGACTGTTCGGTAATACAGGAAGGGTTTCCAAGAAAACACACCACTATGGTCCCAATCTTTGCACACATAGAAAAATAAAGGCCAAAAGTATATATGCCAAGTATTTTATGGTTTTTTTTCTTTTTTTTTTTGATATTCAGAAAAATTACGTTAAGGGAAAAACAATGCATTAGTTGAGAGGAATTACGGTAGGTTTTCCTCTCCAAAAATAACTTTATGTGCCAAGACTGTGTGCCAGACACTGGGGATATACAGACAGAGAAGGAATGGTCCTTGCCCTGGAATCACTTTATCTTCTGTGCTGGAAAGAAAAAAACAACAACCAGATACCTATTTCCTTACTAAAGGCTTGTAACTAACGTGATTTTATTCATAGCTGGGAACAAAACTACATTTTTAAAAAAAGCTTTATTTATTTTGAGAGAGAGAGAGAACAGGTGCACAGAAGCAGGGGAGGGTCAGAGAGAGAGGGAGAGAGAATCCCATGCAGGCTCCGCATCATCAGCATATCAAGTTGGGGCTCAATCTCATGACTTCGAGATCACGATCTGAGCTGAAATCAAGAGTTGGACACTTAACTGACTCAGCCATCCAGGTGCCCCCAAAACTACATTTATAACTGCAGATATAACTGTCCCAGCCTCCCCCTCAGAGGGGATGACTGGACTGAATTTTAATGAAGTTTGGTCAGGTGGCAGAGGCCAAACAGAGTGTTCTCGGGAGTCTAATTTCTTGGTCATAAGTATTTAGGAGATGCCTCCAATACTGAACTAGAGGATGCTGGAGAATAGGACAAGTTACTGCTTTACGTACTACTAATCAGGCACTGAACTAGAAAAACATTAAAGCTAGCGGAATTTTAATTATGGGAGCCTAACAGCCTGGAGAGAGCAGAGAGCAATTTATTAATAATTGCTACCAATTAATCATTTACTATGTGTCCTGCAGTGAGCCAAGCACTCTACCTCAACGATCTTTTTAAAAAATTTTTTTCTTAATGTTTATTTTTGAAGGAGAGAGAGAGAGAGAGACAGAGTATGAGCTGGGGAGGGGCTGAGAGAGAGGGAGACACGGAATCTGATGCAGACTCCAGGCTCTAAGCTGTAAACACAAAGCCCAACACGGAGCTCGAACTCACGAACCATGAGATCATTACCTGAGCTGGAGATGGAGCTTAACCCACTGAGCCACCCAGGCGCCCCTCTATTTCAACAATCTTATTTGTGTGACAACCTCTAATGGTGAGCTTCTCCACAAAGCCTCTGTCAGAATCACCCAAATAAAGTGGATTATATCAGAGTCACTGGAATATTAGAGGTTCTCTTTCTGCTTGATGCTTCATCCCGGATCTCTCTGAAGATTCAGTTTGACTCTAATGTCACCATGCAAGAGTCCCTAATTGTCCTCGGCACCTCTAAGCGTTCCCTTTGTTCAGAAGTTCATAATAGCAATGAAGGCTTGGCACTGTCACCAGAGGCTTCTGCCAGAGTCTAAGCACGTGGTTGATAATGCCGGGAATGGCCAGGACACCAGTGAAAAACAGCTGAATTAACACTCAACACCTACTTCTCTTCTAGACTCACTCTGTACAGCACCATCATATGCATTTTCTCTTCTAACTGTCCCCCTGACCCCAGGAGAGCAAGAAGTATGCCCATTTTATCACTGGGGAAAATGTGGCTAGAGTTGCTGAATGATTTCTCCATTCGGGTACCTGACCTTTGACTCCTGCTTATGACAGTGCGCCCTGCCTCTCCCCGGAGATGTCAATCCAAGCTGGAGGCGGATTTTAGGTGCTCTGTTAGGATCTGTCTTACTGTGAAGTCAGAATAGCTCTAGTTCAAGAACTGCTATCACATGTCTGGCCGAAGTTTGGGGACTTCTGCTCATAAGAAGAAAAATATTTAAGATTCACATTTTTTTAAAAAAAGATTTTATTCTTTAGAGGACTTTTAGATTCACAGCAAAATTAAGCAGAAGTACAAGGTTCTCATTTAGCCCCCTGACGCCTCTGCGTCCACCCTAAAAAGCCTCCCCACGTCCCCCACCCCAGTGGTACGTTTGTTACCACCGGTGAACCTACATGGACTTATTACCATCCAAAGCCCGTAACTGACATTTCGGTTCAATTGACTCTGGGTGTTGTATGCATATACGTTGTTGTATGTTGTTTGACATATACGTGGCACGCATCCACTAAAATAGTATCACACAGAGTAGTTTCATTGCCCTAAAATGCTATGCTCCACCTTTTTTGGTTTTTAATGTTTTATTTATTTCTAGGAGGGAGAGAGAGAGACAGCGTGAGCAGGGGAGGGTCAGAGAGAGAGGGAGACACAGAATCGGAAGCAGGCTCCAGGCTCCGAGCGGGCTGTCAGCACAGAGCCCGACGCGGGGCTCGAACCCACGAACCGCGAGATCACGACCTAAGCAAAAGTCGGACGCTTAACCGACTAAGCCACCCAGGCGCCCCTATGCTCCACCTTTTCATCCCTCCCTCCTTCCTGCCATCCCCTGGCAACCACTCACCCCTTTACTGTCTCCTTTTGCCTTTTCTAAAATGTCCTGCCCTTGGAATGATATAGCATGTAGCCTCTTCAGATTGGCTTGTTTCACTTAGTAATGGGTATTTAAATTTCCTCCATGTCTTTTCATGGCTTGATAGCTCATTTCTTTTTAGCCCACTGTCTGGATGTACTACAATGTACAGTTCATCTACCCATTCACTTACTTAAGGGCATCTTATTTGTTTCCAAATTTTGGCAACCATGAATAAAGCTGCTATAACTGTGTGCAGGTCAGAAGTTTTCAGCCCCTCTGGGTAAATGTTCAGGTACTGCTGAGTCATACAGTAAGAGTATGTTTCGCTTATGTAAGAAACTACCAAGCCACACCATTTGGTGCCCCCATGAGCAGCGAATGAGAGCTCCCATTGCTCCACATCCTTATCAGCATTTGGTGTTGTCAGCATTTTGGATTTTGGCCATTTTAATAGGTGTGTCTTGTTATTTACAGGAACCGCTTTTTGCCCCCAAAGTTTATCTTTATTTGTGAGACAGACAGAGCAAGAGGGGGAGGGGCAGAGAGAGGAGACAGAATCCCAAATAGGCTCCCTGCTGTCAGCACAGGGCCTGATGTGGGGCTCAAACTCACAAACGGTGAGATTGTGACCTAAGCTGAAGTCAAGAGTCAGATGTTTAACTGACTGAGCCACCCAGGGGCCCCTACATGAACCACTTCTAAAAGCAGAACAATTAATTATAAGTTTTGGGTATCTCATGTATAGCATGGTGAATACAGTTACCAATACCGTACCGTATGCTTGAAATTTGCTAAGAGGATAGATCTTAGTGTTCACAACACACACACAAAAGGCAACCGTGTGAGCTGCTGGATGTGTTAATGAGGTCACTGTGGTAATCATTTCACAGTGCATACAAATATCAAATCATTACACTGTATACCTCAAGTATACACAATTTTTATCTGTCAATTATTCTTCAATAAAGTTGGAAAATTTTTCAATAAAGTTTAACAATCCACGGGATTTGAGAACTGGAAAAAAGATTTTAGCTCTACTTCCCTCCTTCCCTCTCCTCCTCACCTCTACCATCCAATGCACACATTAAATTTCACAAATGAAAAAACACAGGCAGAAGGAACGTACTGGAGGCAGGACAGAGATGGGAGATGGGAGCTCCTAACTGCTAATCTGATTCTTACTCTACACATAATGTTGCCTTTATTCTCTCATTTGGAAATCACACTTTTTGTGGGGGTGGAGGGATGTGATCTAAGACACAGATGATTAATGTTAACTTGATGCATGTGCTCATACATAACTGGTATTCAGATATCTGCGGAGTGAGTGCCTATGTTCTCTCCAGGGGCCTTACTGTGCTTTCTACACTAACAGTGAATTATCATGGTCCCCCCATATCGAGGTGGAGGACCTGTCCCTCTACACAATCAAGGACCCTGCAAAGTAGGGCTTGGAATTTTGGCCACATTCCAGGAATTTACACCAAAATTATCAGATACTCCAATCTGATGGGATAATTCTGATTTGTCCTTACTTATTGCAGGATTTCTCCTTTCTAGGCAAATTAATCTTCTTCTCTCCTTTCTATCAGGTTTTTCTGAACCTGTGGGTCTCCTGAGCCTTTTAGGCATTCACCTGACAATGTTCAATATTCTTTGATGCCGACACTGGAAAGGCTTTATGGTGCAGCGTAGAGGAAGAGAATAGCCTTGAAGGGTGTTTTTATTTCTCTCTTAGATGACAGTTACTACTTGTTGAATACAAGTCTCACGAGAATGCATGGGGCACTCATCTCTTCCCAGGCCCTCCTCATCCCATCACAGTTAAGAGACAGGGAAGGGGCAGGCTCTTACCGGCTTCAACGTAGAGACACGCGTCAAGATTCGACGAGCAGGTGGTGGTCTTAGTGCAGTTTTTAGTCGCTTGTGAAATACAGTTGTAGCAGTTCAGGCTGTGGCCTAAAATCAGAAAGAAACCCTTCAGGACTTGTCAGAGCAGCACTGACTTGCCCTCCTGGTGGAAGGAGGCCTGCCGTCTGCACTGGAATGGGACAGGGGCCCGGAGCTCAGGGTGCTCCGTTCCCACACTATCTGTAGCAGGTCGATTTCTCCAGCCTCAAACTATAATCCCAGCAGTACTTTTTAAATTTTTTTTTTAATGTTTTTTATTTATTTCTGAGAGAGAGTCAGCGTGAGCAGGGGAGGGTCAGAGAGAGAGGGAGACACGGAATCCAAAACAGGCTCCAGGCTCTGAGCTGGCTGTCAGCATGGAGCCCGACATGGGGTTCGAACCCATGAACCATGAGATCGTGACCTGAGCCGAAGTCCAACCGACTGAGCCACCCAGGCGCCCCCCAGCAGCATTTTTTTGTACCCTGATACAAGTACAAAAGGAATTTACATGTGTCAGAATCCCTAGAACTATGCAACTGAGAAGCTTCCTTTTCCCTTCAACTAGAAGTGATTTTTAAAAAGTGATTAATTTGCAATGATGGATTAAAAGGAACTAAACTAACAGAATTCTAGAAATCAAGAGAATAAACTAATAGAATTCTATAAATGCCTTACAGGCAACGGATACTCTCTGATCACATTCTCATAGATCGATAATCAGTTATTTGGCAGTATCTGTCTTTGTGAAAGAACATTTTCGAAGATGAAATATGTAAAGTCTTATAGAAGACCAAGTGTGGGTTTTGGAACCCAAGAGCTCACTTGCCGTTCTAAGGCCAAAGCCTACATCTATCCCCAGGAAAAAGGAATCTTCCAGAAGGCCAGAAGAAAGTGGCTCCTCACTATCTGAGCATATAGTAGGAGTCAAGCTCTCTATACCATATTAAATGGCCCACGTTGGCCATCCCTGGTGTGAAATCCCACCTAGCAGAAGACCCTCGATCTGTGAAGGTTCCAGATTTACCTTTGAAAGGTCAGTCCAAATAACCCCCTCCCACCACTCTGTTTACAGATGAGGAGAAAGATGCCTGGAGCCAGGCCCCCACATGTGGGCCGTTAGCCCACTCTGCCTCTTCCCTCCCAGTGATGGCGTTTGTTGCCCCCGTGTAGGAGGGGAGCCACAGTGAGAAGGGACAAAGATGCAGTTTTTCTGCAGTCCCCTCCCTGCCCTGGATGCAGGTACACACGTCTGAGAGGGCAGAATGGAAGAGGGAGGTATGTTCTGGCTTGGATCCTGGAGATGGCCATTTGGTTGAATCTTCTCCTGGCTAGAGCCAGAGTTCATCTGGCTTCCTCCTCTTCTTCTTTTTATTTTATTTTTTTTAAATTTTTTTAATGTTTTATTTAATTCTAGGAGAGAGAGAGACAGCATGAGCAGGGGAGGGTCAAAGAGAGAGGGAGTCACAGACTCTGAAACAGGCCCCAGGCTCTGAGCTGGCAGTCAGCACAGAGCCCGACGCGGGGCTCGAACCCACGAACGCGAGATCATGACCTAAGCGAAAGTCGGATGCTTAACCGACTAAGCCACCCAGGTGCCCCACTTCTTCTTCTTTTTAATGTTTATTTATTTTTGAGAGAGAAAGAGATAAAGCAGTGAGCGGGGGAGGGGGGGGCAGAAAGAGAGAAAGAGAGGGAGAGACAAATAATCCCAAGCAGACTCCGTCCTATTGGCTCAGAGTCCAACACAGGGCTCAAACCCAGGAGCCATGAGATCCTGACCTGAGCCGAAATCACAGTCGGATGCCCAAATGAGTCACCCACGTGCTCTTTCACTTGACTTCTTGACAAACCTTTAAAGAGTGGAACCAAAGCTCACCTTTGGAAATTCTGGGGGGCAGAAATATTCATAGCTGCCATGTTCATTCTGTGTGCAAATATCCTGCACCTACACGCTAAGCTCTCGACCGTTGCAGAATTGTTATGAGAGGTAGGCTCAGTGATCTCCGGGCCATGTTTGAAGTGAAAACTAAGAACTAAACTGTTAACTAACTTGTCCAAAGTCACACGTTACCAAGTGAGAGCAGGGACTCAAACCCAGGCCATCAGTTCTGAAACCCAAGCCTGGTCTAACCGTGACTTTCTTCTAATGGTCCAGAGCGCGGGAGAAGAAAAGAGCGCATACGGTGCGGGGGATCCGACTCTGGGCTAATGGAGGTGTAGGGGGGGTCGTGGAGGAAGGCTCCCCTGCATGTTCCTGAGTCTAGGCGGTGGCCAAGGAAGCCTGTCCCGTGTGTGCCCGTGCTCCAGGTTCTGACTCTCTGCAGAAGAGCCTGCGTGCACCCGGGACCTGTCACAGAACAGCCGATGGCCCCAGACCCAGGCCTGCTCCATAAACAAAGGCAGACTGGTGGAACTGAGGCATAACTAGGCTCTTCTAATTACAGGAAATGCACTAGGCAAAAGAACAGAGACACTCGTGCTGTGTTGTCACACAGGTGAGCCACGTTACAACCGAACCCTGGCTGGAATGAGCGACAGGGAGGGAGCACCATGGGTTCTCTTTGTTCTCAGGAAAGGAGAGCATATTCAAATGTGACCTTGGGCTGGTTTCTGCTTTGCCTCAGTTTCCACCCCAGTAAAGTGGGAATAACAACACTGACCGCTCATGGGATGGCTGGAAGAATTCAATATATGGTAGCTAGCTACTAAAGCTAATCAGACAGAAGATACCTCTGCCACAGCAGATATCTCCTCACTGACCACCGCACTGCCAGTCCCTTTCCGCCTCTCCCCCACACAAAAGCCCCAAACCTGGAGTACTGACAAGGACACAGGTAGGAAAGAACTCCTGAGCCTGAGCCAAAGCAAATAACACAGGTGTTTCTACTGTTACAGAATTAAGACTCAGGAACATACAACTACTTCCAGGAGCCGGGGCAGGGTGGCTGGGGGCGGGGGGCTGGTGACGAGCAGACACCCAGGCGCGACTATCTGGGCTCAAATTCTGGCTGTGGCACTTCCGTGTGATACTTTACAAATTATTTCATCTCTCTGGGGCTTAGGTTGGTCATTTATAGAATGATGGACAAAAAGAAGTACCTACTCCACAGGGCTGACATGAGAACCCAGTGAGTGAGTGTAAAATGCTTAGAATCACGGCAGGCGCATCAGTGCTGCGAGCCTCAGCAGCCGCTGCTGCTCCTGGGCTCGTTATCATCACGGTCACAGGGCATAAGAACGGAGCTCGGCGCCCGCTGGGGTCCCCAACAGCTTGTGAGAGGGAGAAACATAAAGCTGCTGAGTGAACCCCCTGCCCCGCACCCCCTCCCCCTCAAAAGCTGCTCTGTAACCCAGGATGGGCTGTAACTCAGGAAGGTGCTGCGAGGAGAGCCAGGCTGCAGCGCAGGCAGGAGTGGTCACGCGGCCCGGGAGCCGTGACACCGGAAGGCAAAAGAAGCAGAGCCAGACCTGAGGCCAGCAGCATCAGGTCAGGCTTCCTGAGGTAGAGGACAAAGTGAGCTCATCACCTCGGTCACAAGTGGACCCGGATGGTCCAGATCCACGCCCCTGAAGGCCACGCACCTGAATGGCAGATGACAGCCAGGAGGAGCAGCAGCACCAGCAGGATGAATCCTCCTTGGCTCCGCATTGTGAGCATCCACAGAATCTGCAAGGAAGGGACACGGAGCATTGTCAGGAACCAACAAATGAGTGCTGGTTACCTCCAGGACCAAGAGCTGGAGGGCCTGGACCTTCAGGAAGCAGATGGAGAAATGGTCTGGGGTGCCGTGAACCACGGTGCTCTCCCGTCCCTCCTCTTGCCCCCAAACCTCAGGTTACTAAAATGCTGCCGATTCTGGGGAGACGCATGGCTATGGGGAGTCAGAGAACACCTGGCTTATCAGTAGTACCCGGGACCCAACCTCAGCTCTCACCTACAGTGGCCGTGAGTAAACGGCCACTCCAAGCCACAGTCGTCACGATCAAGCAGTGGGGACAGCACTATCTTCCCCATAAGGGCTGTTTAGTCACACGAGAATATGAAAAAAAAATTCAGCAACTACAGTTCCACTCTGCTGGCCCCACCCCAAGCTACTGGCTGAGCCGGGGCCTAGCAAGGGCCACCTTTCCAGGCCATGCCACGAAGTGTGTCAGACCGAACGGGTGATGCTGGCACCCCCCGCCGGTGCCTCCTGCGGCAGAGCATGCAGACGCTCCGGTTCCCCACCTTAGCAAGTGATGGAGACCCCGCCTCGTTCACCTCCTCCCCTCTTGGGAGGTAATGAGGGGTCTGGTAACTTTGAGGACCAGTCCCGCTACAGCAATGCCTACGTGGGTGGCAGTGGCATCAGGGGAGGAGAGGGAAGCGCTGAGATAGCTCAAACCCTTCTTTCACCTGACAAGGAAGCCAAAGCAGAGAGGTTTCTAACTGCGTTAAGTATAAGCCAGCTCTAAGAAGTCTCCCAATCCCGGCCCGACCTTCCTGGCCTCCTCCTGAAACAAGGAGGCGCCAGTGCCTCTAAACCAAGGTGACCCACAATCTAGTCCCCTCAGCCCCACAGGCCAGGACTTCTGCCTGACAGACACAGGGCGTCTTGATAAGCGAGCCCCCACCCTCCTTTAAGTTAGGAATGTCATCTCCACACCTCTGAAGATCATCCGCTGCTCAGGCCTGGGCTCAGGAAGGTCAGGGGAGGGCTGAGAAGCAGAAAGCACAGCCCTGGCATTGCCCAGAGAGGAACACATGGAGTAAGTCAGGTCCGGAAGAAAGAGACAGGTTGCTTTCCTGATGTGAGGGGAACCAGGAAGAAAAAACCAAACAGGGCCTGGCCTTTCTATATAAGTTGAGTAACCTCCACGTCCTTCTGGCCTCTTCAAAATCTACAACAACCTACTAATGGCCACCACCCCCCATGCAGGCCCTCCTGGGGGTTAGCTACACACAGCGACCCCAGTACATTGAGGATCGGAGGTGCCCAAGGGCAGTGGTTAGAGCTCAGATGTCGGAGTGGCAGGGATCCGGAGGTAAGGGCCGCTGTGCCCTGGCAACCACGCCTCATTCACTTCACCTACAACGGAGGTGGATACAGACGTGTGTCCCAACACTGCGACGATTTACGGGGGTGAAACAAGTTAAATGAGTATGTGCTCAGCATAGCCAGGCGCTCGGCACAGCCAGGCACACGTAAGTAGTGGATGTGTGGCTGCCCAACCGGACACACCACCTTGTGGCCCTAACTCAGACAGGCATGTCTACACCTCCTGTTCTGAGTATGTGTGGGTCTTCCTTCCTGGCCCCTCACCCTGAGAGGTGGTGCCCTAAGGCCTCTGCACCCTAAGCGATGAGGAAGAGGCCTCCATATGCAAAGTGATGAGGAAGCCAGACAAACGCCCTGGAATGGACGAGCCAGGGGCCTTGCAGGAACCAAACGTAAGGCGGCTCCCGGATTTTGGGTTGCATGGGGAGTGTCAAGTCTTGGTTTCAACACCTCACATTGCTGGCTGGGAGTCACCGCGGCTGTGGGAGGGGCAAAGATGGCAGATGAAGGAAGTGGCCAGGGTACCGATACCAAGGTTGAGCTGTTTCAATAGAAATAAGACCAGGTCTTCACTAATCACTACTGAAATATCAATTTCCAAGGGCAAAATGTCATCACGGCAGGTGAAGGTGGAAAGAAAATACCCAACTGCTTTAAAGCTATTTTATAAATGCCCCCAAAACGTTGACAGTAGTTAATGCTAAGAGGGATTATTTATGATTTCTTATTTCTCTTCCTGACCCTTTACTTTTTGCCATTCTTTCCCCAATTATTCGATAATGGACCAGGTATTACTTTTATAATCATAATCAGAGATATTGGGAAAATCCACACATAACAAATGTTTCCCTTTTGGGGGTCACATATCACTCATCTTTTGGCAAATCTTTTTTTCAGAATTAAAACAGAGAAACTGAACTTCATGATTTCAAACTTGCCCCCTAGTCTAACACACCCTGCATTTTAAACTTTAAAATGATGCCCATAAGTTAAGGTGTACATCAGATGCTCTGCCAGGACTTTTCTATTCCACCCAAGCCAACCACGGAAAATGCACCCAGAAGGCCTCAATGCTCTTCTGTGCCAAACATACTAACTCAGTTAAACAGCAGATCCAAGGGGTGCCTGGGTGGCTCAGTCTGTTGAGCGTCCAACTTTAGCTTAGGTCATGATCTCCCAGTTCATGGGTTCAAGCCCCACGTCAGGCTCTGTGTTGACAGCTCAGACCTGGAGCTTGCTTAGGATTCTGTGTCTCCCTCTCTCCCTGTCCCTCCCCCACTCTGTGTGTGTCTCTCTCTCTCTAAAATAAATAAATATTTAAAAAAATTTTAAACCGTGGATTTAATTATTGGAAACAGACTAAAGTCATTCAGAATAAAGTCCCAAGACTAAAGATGGGTAAGCCTCCTGGAAAAATACCATTTTGGAGTCTGTAAAACATACTTGAAACCAGCTTTAGAAAGTTCAGACAGGTTTTTCTGGATGGCTCTAAAGTTGACTCTGAAGTTGATTCCTTTCATAGGTGCTCCAAACAGACTTTTTATCTGCAGGAATAAGCAAACACTAGAAGATAAGGTAACCATTGTCTAAAACAGTAAACACTTGGCAATATACATGGCTATGAGTAAGTTAGGATACGATTCTATGGTGAGGGACTGCACAGCCATGAAGAGGGATAGACAGGGAAGGCTGTTCACAGTGTATTAAGGAAAAAGCCAGTTTAAAAATAGCTATAATCTCGGGGTGCCTGGGTGGCTAAGTTGGTTAAGCATCTGATTTCAGCTCAGGTCATGATCTCACAGTCCACGAGTTCGAGCCCTACATTGGGTTCTGTGCTGACAGCTCAGAATCTGAAGCCTGCTTCAGATTCTGTGTCTCCCTCTCTCTGCCCCTCCCCCTGCTTACGTTGTCTCTCTGTCTCAAAAATAAATAAACTCAAAAAAAATTTTTTTAAATAGCTACAATCTTGTTTTTCTTAAAAAGTGATTCTTGGAATACCATATCAACTTTCCTGAACACTCCTGGAACATGTGGTTGATAGAACTGAAATAAATCATTTTACCTGCAGCTTAAGTTTTTTTCTACTACTCAACTTGATTAGGTATAAAAATATATACCACTTTTCAAAATTGGCTTGAGGTAAAAAATGTTTCCTGTACATACACTCTCCTAGGTCTGTCTGGTAGCAGTTATTCTAGTCACACTCTGTATTGGTAAAATATGAGGCTTGGGTGATTCTCTTGCAGTCCTGAAAGAGACCTATATCCTAATCCCACTTAGCTGCCAATTCATAGAACCTTAAAACGGTCAAGTCCTTTACGTCAGTTCCTCATTTGTGAAGGGGTAATAATGATTCTAGTTAATGAGAAAATATAAGACTTGAGGGTTTTAAAGCTCTATATGGACTAAAAGGTAGCAGTTTAAGGAACAAGCAAGCAGACAGACGCACACACAATCCTGGGGTTACTCTGCTTGGGCTCAGACTGACCTGGAAAATACTATTTTTCTTCTCAGCAGCCGATTTCTGCTTTCCTGTTTATCAGGAGAGTAAAATAAACAGGTGTGTAACTCAGGCGAAACAGGTGAAGGAAGAAACCAGGGCTCTTCTATTTGAAAAAATATAGTCAGAGATGATTACTGTCTTCAAATATGCTGAGAGTCACTGAGAAAGAGGGGAGAGGTTATCCTGTGTAATTTCCAAAGGCAGCATTAGGACTTCCTAAGGAACAAGTATTTGCCATCACCCCATCCCTCCTATCTCCCTGCTGTGCGCCAGGCACTGAGGGTCCACACATCTGGAAAGCAATTCCAGATGTAAAATGTAAAAAACCTCCCATCACTTGAAAATGTTCAAACAGAGAGGAAGGATCAGAGATGTGGCAGAAAAGATTCCTGCAGACAGCAGCAAGGGGTTAAAACCAGAGTTCTCAGACGTACAAAAGACTCGTTTTATAATAAAACCAACCTGATCATTATTTATTCACTGACATCTACCTGAGATGGAAGAGGAAGCTGAAACAATGCAAGGTGATTTATAAATACAGACATCCCTGATCAAGTTCCTGAAAATGCTTTAGGTAGCAAATTTACGGAGAGTGTGACCATTTCTCCCCCCAACCATATTCCATTATTTTAAAAGGAAAACAAAGGGATGTTACTGTCCATCCAGAAACTCCAGCCAGTCCTTCCAAATATCTAAACAATCCACAGAACTTGAGCATGAAGCATTTAACACAACACTGTTTAAGGATATAGTTTAAGCAAATAAAAGGAATTCCTTGGTGGGTGGGTATATTTACTGCTGTGAAGTAAGTTCACAACCCCCACACCCCATTCATCCCACAACAATCATTTATGAGCCTACCATGAGCAGGTATTGTGCAAGGCGCTGTGTTACAGTGACCGCTGAACCAGGCAAGGTCCTGCCCGGAAGAACCTTATCATCTAGCGGAGGTGGACATCACCTAGTGCTAAAGACTAGAAAGAAAGCAAAGTAAAAAAGAGCACTGGTTCTGAAACTCAAGTGGCATAAGAATCACCGGGAGGCCATTATGCACAGATGCTGAGCCCCATCCTTAGAGGTTCTGAGTCAAGGGTCTGGGGGTGAGGGCAAGAATTTGCATTTCTAATCAGGAACACACTGAGAACCCCTGGGTTAGAGGGTGACCAGGGACAAGGGTGAGGCTACTTTAGATGGGGTTGGAAGTGTCTCTCCCAACAGTGTTGTGTGAGAAGCTGTTAGTTCTAATTAAATAATTAAAGGCTTCTTCTCCTTTTAAGGGCTGTGTGATTACACTGGGTCCAATGTCACCAAATGCATTAACTGTATTTAATCCTCACATAATGTTGTAAAGTAAATTTAATCTGCCTCCATTTATAAAAGGAGGAAACGGGATCGAGGAGGGGAATGAATTTAGGCAACTGTGGTAGGTAGAATAATTAACAGGCGTCTTCCCGAAAGATGTCCACGCCCCAATTCTGGGTACCTGTGAATACTGGCAACCTTAGATGGCAAGTGACTTTGGAGATGAGATTAAGGTTACAGCCTGTTTTGGATTATCCAGAATCATGTGGGCGATTACACTGAAGAGGACAGGAAGGCAGCAGGGTCTGTCAGAGAGATGTGAAACCAGAAGGGGGACGCCTGGTGGCTCAGTTGGTTAAGCATATGACTTCAGCTCAGGTCATGATCTCAGGGTTTGGGAGTTCCTGAGCCCACATCGGGCTCCCTGCAGATCTTCTGTCTCCCTTTCTCTGCCCCTCCCCCACTCATTCTCTCTCTCTCTCCCTCCCTCCCTCTCAAGAATAAATAAACATTAAAAAAAAAAAAGAAAGAAAAGAAAATGAAGCAAGTGGGAGCCTCACTGGCTCAGCTGGTAAAGCAGGTGACTCTTGATATCAGGGCTGTAAGTTTGAGCCCCATGTTAGGGTATAGAGATTACTTTAAAAAAAAAAAAAAAAAAGGAAGCAGCAGCAGTAGCAGCAAGAGATTCAAGGAGGATGGAATTCTCCTACTACTGCTGATGTTGTGGACGGACGATGTGGGGAGGGGCAAAAGTGAGGCATACAGGTGGCCTCCGGAATAGTCCTCAACTGATACTTGGCCAGGAAATGGGACCTCAGTCCTCCAACCACTTGGACTCCATTGTGCCAATAACCTGCACGAGCAAGGAATGGCTTCTCCCACAGAGCCCCCTGAAAGGAACGCAGCCCCACTGACACCTTGACATGAACCTGGCGACGCCCACGACAGACTTCTGACATATGGAACCGCAGGATTAATAAATCTGGGTTAAGTCCCTAAACTTGTGATCTGTTTCAGCAGCAGTAGAAAACTAGTGCAGCACCCCCAGAGCCGGCATATGGTTAGAGCAGCACTTAAACCCAGCTCTCAGCTTTTACCCACAGTTAAACTCTCTGGAGGGGAGGCTTCCTGTGAATTCAGCTTCTGAGGTAGATTAGTTAAGCTGAGGCCACCAGAGAAGAGACTTTATATGGCTACTGTTTCCAAGAGATTCACGGATCCCCATCAGTTTTAACTTCTGCTCCTGGGAGCGAGGCCCCTGACAGGCTGATGAACTTTAAAGCTAGAAGTGTCCTCAGAAATGAAATCTAGGGTTCTCATTTTCTAGACAATTCTTGGAGCCCCAGGGAATGAAGTTACCTGTCCCAAGGCAACAAGTCAGCTGCAAGCCATACTGAGTGGGTCCTGCTTCTGTTCACCAGGGGCTGGTGACTCACAAGTGGCTTAACGTTAGTGTCAGAGACCTGGAGCTTTGCCTCCTTTATCACCATGGACACATACAGGGTCTGCTGCAGCCATGCGTAGTTACTCAGTTCAGAGAGTACTTACATCAGAAGGTAGAGACAAACAGAAAGCCGTTGTCATAATGAACAGCCCCTCCCAGGCACCTGGGAGGTCCCACTGCCAGGGACAATCACCCCAAACTCTCTAAACCACATAAATCTGCAGCTTCCCCTACGAGGGGCCTCTCCGCCATCTGTTCCAGGATCCCAAGAGCCAGAGAGCTCTCTGAAGAGGGTCTCTTGTTAGAGCCTCCTCACGGCCCTGCCCTTTGAGGTTATACATGCACTGCCAATGGGGTTAGTGAAGATATTTCACAAAGATACCGGGCTTTGTTTTGTTTTTTGGGGCTTGGTTTTTTTGTTTGTTTGTTTTGGCATTCTGGCCGAAGTTCAAGAGCTGGCCCAGAATTTTTTTTTTTTAATATTTTATTTACTTTTGAGAGAGAGATAGAGACAGCATGAGCAGGGGAGGGTCAGAGAGAGAGGGAGACACAGAATCCGAAGCAGTCTCCAGGCTCTGAGCTAGCTGTCAGCACAGAGCCCGATGTGGGGCTCGAACCCATGAACCGTGAGATCATGACCTGAGCTGAAGGCAGACGCTTAACCGAATGAGCCACCCAGGCGCCCCGAGCTGGCCCAGAATTTTTAATTTGTTTCTTTTCAAGACCTTATATCTGCATCTGTTGAGGTGAACTCCATTACACACCTGCTCTCCTCATTGTAAAACCCACTTTATTTGGGCTTTGATCTTCCAAATCACTCAGCATTAATGGGCTGTTTTCCTTACATCAAGGCTCAGCAAAAGGTTCCTGTTTCTGCTTTAAAAATACAGAAGTGACAAGTTGCAGGCATTTCTGGTTCTTGGTGAGGCAAGTCTTTATCTTCCTTGGGGTTATAAGTCTACCTCCAGAGTAAAACCACATTAAAAAAATTTTTTTTAATGTTTATTCTTGAGGGAGAGAGAGAGAAATTATGAGCGGGGGAGGGGCAGAGAGTATGGGAGAGAGAGAATCCAAAGCAGGCTCAAGATGTCAGCACAAGCCTGCTGAGGGCTCCAACTCACGAATCGTGACCTCATGGCCTGAGCCAAAGTCACCTAACCGAATGGGCCACCCAGATGCCCCATAAATAACCACATGTTGAGAAATGTTAACACCCCTCACAAGGAACATTCTGAGCTGTGTGTAAAATGCCCCATGGGGAACAGGAATAAGGGCTATGGGGACACCCCAAAATACTGACAGCCACCATTTGTTCCTCACAAACAGGTGCCAACCTGATTTCCACGAATTATCTCAGTTAGTCCGTTTAACACCCAAGAAGTAATAAGTCCTATTATTTTACTGATAAGAACGTGAGGTTAAACAGCTTGCTCAGGATTACCCAGCCAGTCAACAGCAGAGCCAAGATTCAAACCCTGGTGCGATGCCCCGGCCCTTGACCACTACACGGTGACACATGAACTTGGTAGTTGTGAATTCACCATTTCTCTTCATGCCACCAAGCTTCAAACTGTACCTGATTCCAGGTGGATTCCAGAGCCACGGTCACCAACAGACATGAAGCTAAATAAGGTAGAGCACAAGTGGTAGCAAAGAGGTGTTTTCCTGAGAATTGAACACAAAGTCATCTCTGGGTTAACTCTATTTTTTTTTTATCTTTTATTTGTTTTTGAGAGAGAGAGAGAGAGACAGAGAGTATGAGCAGGGAAGGGGCAGAGAGAAAGGGAGACACAGAATCCACGAAGCAGGCTCCAGGCTCTGAGCTGTCTGCACAGAGCTGACAATGGGCTCCAACCCAGGACCCACAAGATCATAATCTGAGGGGAAGTCAGAAGCTTAACCCACTGATCCACCCAGGTGCCCCTGTTTGAAGTCTTTATCTCCATTCCAAAAATTGTTTATCACAAGCTAACCTTGACAGGGGCTCTAAGATGTAGGCTATGTCTCTAAATCTGTAAAGTTTATGGGCTGATTTGGTTAGAATGAATTAGAAGCATTGCAGTTCAGAGAAGTGGGCAGCCAGGTCTCCACTGGGGCCCCTGGATCCCTTGAAGAAAGTCACCACCAAGTAAGAACATGATTTTGAAAAGCATCAGCTGGTAGGTGCCTGGGTGACTCAGTGGGTAAGCGTTTGCTTTTGGCTCAGGTCATGATCTCATGTGGATTGAGCCCCACGTCGGCTTCCCGCTGAATCTGCTAGGGGCTCTCTATCTCCCATTTCTCCCTGCCCCCTTCCCCGCTTATGCGCGTGCTCTCTCACTCTCAAAATAAATAACATTAAAAAAAAAAAAAAAGCAGCAGCTGGTCACAACAGGAAGCACCAGGCACCATGGACGCAGCCAATTACAGACAGTAGGAAGAGCACCATCAAAAGGAAAGCCTGAGAAAGCCTCTGGGCAAGCAAGCGCCTTTACAAGGTGGCAAGCACGGGCATTTCGGAACCGGCCCTGTCCAGGGCAGAGACAGGGAAACCTGATCTCAGCAGTCCCTGCCAAGGTGAGTCCACAGCCGGCAGCTCCTCTCACTGTGGGTGCGTTCCCGGCCGGCTTCCATTTCCAAGCCATTTCCATGTCCAGGACGCCGCCCACGTGTGTCAGCGAGCCGAGACCTGGCCTAAGTGACGCGGCGCATTTCCCGGGTCCGCGGAGAGCCTGCTTCTCGTTAAATAACACAAACCTCGATTGAACATTTCTTTAAAAGTCCGCTGCCAGACTCCAGGAAGAACGCAGCCCCCTCAAAACAAAATGTCTACGGTCTGGCCTCGCCCTTTTCCCAATTTCAAATTTGTACAGCTAGAGAACGTCCGTTTCCACCTGGCACGGAGCGGGCTACAACCTCCTTTGGAGGCGCGATTTCTCTTCCCTAAGCTCCAAGAGCTTCCCTTCAGGGCGAGGCGAGGGTAGGTGGTCGGGATTCGAGGAAAACACTCCCGAGGCAACGCAGGGCATGGCGCGCGGAATTGGAGGCGTTTCGGAAAGGGCGCCCACTCCTCCCCCCCTTCTCTTTTGGTTAACAAAGGAGGCCAGCGTTCTGCCGGCCCCTCCCGGACCTCCGGGGCCGTAAAGCCGCGGGCAGAAGGGCCTGGGGAGGGCGCCCGGGGCCCCCACCCCGTCTGGGGTCTCCGTCGGCCCCGACCCAGCCGCAGGTGACCTCACGCGCCGGCCCTAGCTCGCTGCGGCTTCAGGCGCGGAGTGGGGCTCGGACCCAGCCCAGCCACGGGCCTTACCTGCCAGCAATGAGGAGCCGAACTCTGCGCCGCGCAGCCCGTTTGCTCTGCCCGCTTGTCTTTCGGGCTGGGTCTTTTCAGCCTGGAGCTCCGCCCCTCTCGCTGGCCCCACCCCCGCGGCCGCTAGATCTGGCACCTGCGCGCAGCAGTCTGGAAGCCCAAGGTCACCCCGGTCCTAGAGCGATCTGTAGACCCCTGGCGCTCACCGCGCGCGCCTAGAGCACCCGGGCGACGGCCGCGCAACCAGCCCTGGCCAGGCAGCTGCGCAGGGTGACTCAGACTCCCCGCCCAGGTTCTGAAAAAGGCCGTGGCCACGAATAGATGAAGACCTTTAAAACCCCTGAAACGGAAAGTTTATAATGTCCTCCTCTGGTTTGTTTTAGGAAACAAGTATATGAAAACTCCATGACATCTGATTTTCCCTTCCTTAAAAAAAAAATAATAAAATGTTTCAAAAAACTTTATTGTGCCCATACCAAGCCCTCACTTGGCCCGGCTGTCAGGTGAGTCTCCTTTTTTTTTTTTTTTTTTTTTCATAAATGCATGAGATACAATTTAAGTAGGAAATCATATAACTGATGATGACATGTCCCTTCTGCCATGATTCTCTGATGGCTTTCGGATATCAGGGAATGAGTTTTGGTTGGTGGTGCCGTAATCTTGGTTTTCTTCTGTAGAAATGGGAGTCTCAAACCAAGACTTACTTTGATATTTAAAACGTGTCTGCTTAAAACAGCAAATACATGTATTTCTGTTTACAAAACTCTCACATGCATTATCTCATAGGCATCCTATTAGCTGTTGCCTCCTTAGAACTCTTGGATTCTGAGTTGCCACCGCCTCCTGGTTTTGCTTCCATTTTCTCACCTTTCAGTCATTTTTTTAAACGTTTATTTATTTATCTTGAGAGAGAGAACGAGTGGGGGAGAGGTAGGGACAGGGAGAATACCAAGCAGGCTCCTCGCTGTCGCACAGAGCCCGATGTGGGGCTCAGTCTCACAAACCGGGACATCATAACCTGAGCAGAAATCAAGAGTCAGAAACTTTACTCACGGAGCCACCCAGGCACCTTGTCCTTTCAGTCTTCAGTCTTCTCCACTACCTCATAAATCTGGCGTGCCCAGGTTAGTTTTCCCTTGGGCATATGTGTTTGCAGGTCATTTGCAAATCTATACTCTCCATCCCTGACCACTCTCCCTCAGTCTTCATATTCATTCCTGATTGCTGGAAACCAGTATGTCCTACTGGCATCTTGAATTCAGAATGTGTCCACATTTCATCTCCAATGTCCAACTGCATTTCCTGCAAGTTTGTTTTTCATAAATAAAGCCAGAAGCCTGGGAATCAACTTTGATTTCTTCCACTCTTTCATATCTAATCACCAACTCCTACATACTTTATCATGTACATACCGGTTTCATCCTCTCTTCAGTCCTCCACTCCCTCTACTACTGCTCTAACTCAAGCCCATAAGCATGACTTATTTGGAGTATTTCAAGTCCTTCATACCAGGTCTCCATGCTACCTGTGTGTAACCCCCCCCGCCCCACTTCTCTACCTATCCTCCATGTGACTGTTGGAAACCTGGTTGGTTTACCTCTCCAGCCTTATGTTTGACTTCACTTTCCATTTAATTGGTCCCTTTTCTCATCATCCTTCCTGGATTATATGACTGCAGCTGCCATCTTGCAACCATGAGGTGACCTTTATGATTAAGCCTTGTGCAAAGGATAGCAGAACAGAAAGCTGGAAGGAATCTGCAATGTTGACACCACTGGGCCACTGTTATCAGTCCTCAACTAGTCACCTCAGACTTTTCACAAGAGAAAAATAACCCCTAAGCTATTTGCTGTTTATTTAGGTATCTGTCTCATCCTAACTGATAATTCAAGCTTTAGACAAATGAGTGAAAGACAGATGGTGGTCTCAAGAGACCCCAGCACCAGAAATGGCCTTCGCTTTACAAAAGCATAGGCTGGCCAACTGTTAGCTCTCTTGTATGTGTGAATACACATTCTTGTCAATGAAATAAAACACTTGAGCGTGTTATCAACTAATCAGTCATACCTTGGTATGAACGAGAGGTCATTCATTCAACATACTAAGAGAAAGTGAATTTAGATGAGAGGATAAATAAGCCTGAAGTATTGCGAGAAGCAAGAATTGAATAGGGTTGTGCAGGGGAAATGTGGGGCATCGTGAATATTCTGGGTATAGAGAGGAGAGGTCAACCAGTAATGACGAAGAAGCAAAAATGGCACGGGATCCTGGGACCAGCTTTAACTTTCAACATTAACTAGTTTTAAATTATTGTTTTATTGAGAAATTTTATTTTTTTTTAAAACTCAGTAGGCTGGGTTTTTTGTTTTTTGTTTTTTTAAAGGGGAGAGATAGGCATAATAGAAGGATTTGGTAGCCTGATGATAAAATTTAAAAAACAGGCAGGAAAAACAACTTACTGCATTTCACAACATTTTGGCACGTGCCAATATGAAAGGGTCTTCATAGTCCCTGGGGCAGCTGCTTAACCCTGTATATTCTTCCCTCTTTCTACAGTTTTCCCTACAAAAGAACTATTCCTGCGGAAAACAGAAAGTAGAGCATATGACACGATCAAAGCCAGGAAATGACTTTGAATGGGCCTCTGGCAACAGGCCAAGAAGTTTCAATTTCATCTTCCATCTTAAGAGTAAAGGCTGATTAATATTAGTTTATGGAAAATAGGCAATTACACAAAATACAGGATCAGAACCAAAATTCGTTTTTAAAATGTGAGTTTTTGCCACTTGGAGGATGTCATTCCAAACTCTTAATTATATAATTACAAAAAAAAAAATCCGTGTTTATACTTAGTCTTAACATAAAATTCATGTCACTTATCACAAAGTTAGACAGTCAAGTGTATAAAGGAGAAACAAAACGGAAGCAGTATTTACAAATTTAGAGTACAGGAGACATTGTGAAGATTCTTCTGTTAATAAACAATATAACACACAGTTTTATACACTACATTTCAAAAATGACGCATCTGTGAACAATATGAAAAAGGTCATTGCACTAAAGACTTTAAATTAAATTCAAAGTTGTCACGTTGAAGGTTTTAAATTCAAGGTCGGTAGAATTGAAGACTATATGCGAGGCCAAGGTCATAGCGATAAAGACTTTAAGTTCAAGGTTATAGTGATGACAACTTTAAATTCAAGGACAGATTGTCTAAGAAAGGACAAACAACTAGCATTCAAAGTATTAGGTCAATTAGTTCCCTGGGAGTACAAAATATATAGGAATCACTAAATGGATTAGCCTAATTACAAATTCTGTTCATTTCTAAATAATTCACAACTGCAAGAAGTCTTTGCACAGAATCATTCAGTCACATAGTTCCTCTCTATCCCTGCATAGATATTTCTGCTACATTTAAAAACCCTTATTCAAAACAATTCCCTCCCGTTTCCCTATGTGTAGAAGTATAAAATCTTTTAAAGCAAAGCAATGTCTGTTCTTTAGGTAGAGAACTATTCACCCATAGATAGACTTCTAGAAGAGAGGAAAACAAACAAATGAAACCGATTCCCATTTCCTCTCCTACCTCAAAAACACAAAGCGAACCAAAACAATCCAATTCCTAATGTAATGTCGCAGAGAACCCAGGGCCTGGAACAACATTTCATGCTAGTTTTCCTGCTATGTGCTGAGAAAAATTTAGTTATTTACATTATTGAGACATCTATTTAACAGACTGGATTCAGGCCGGTGCTTTGGCCGGCAGAGGCTTGCTAGAAAAGGCGAGAGCAGCGGCGCCTGCGAATGGGAACTTCAAAGACTCTCCTTCGTCTCTCTTCCTCATCATCTTCATCAGATTCGTCCATATCTGCTGAGTCGTCATCATCGTCTTCCTCCTCCTCCTCCTCTTCTTCCTCTTCCATCTCTTCGTATTCATCAGGACCCATTTCCTTGAAAGAGAAAACAATCTTTTGATAAGAACTTCCATCAGTTTTTTATACTTATTTTATGTAAATTCTCACTTAATCTATAATCTAAACAACTGGACATGCCAAATATTCATTTGTACAGAATTGAACAGTGTATTTTCATAATGCACTTGCTGATGCAAGAATCTAGAGTGTATATACATACGTATATATACCACATATATACATATATACCACGTGTTTTAAAATGCTCAGTGTGGTTTTAATGGTAAATATACTTCACTAATACAGTATATATTTTTTATCTGGTAGTTGATAATTTGTACAAGGGAGCCAACTGACTGCTCCTAACAACCCAAGATAAAATTATACTGAATTTATTTCAGTGGATTAAGTAACAATTCTTTATTAATCTATATGCTTATAGAAAAGAGGATGTAAAAACATTAATAAGGTATGACCTCTACTGGTAACTTTTATGTACTGTCAGGAGGTCTAATAGATTTCTGTGGAGCTCCTACTAGAAAGGCACATCGATTCAATTCAACCACCACAGGTAGCCTCTACTTTGAAATTAACTTGTCGAAGGCTCTCCAAATAGGGCAATAGTGAGGTTGAACATGCAAGATCTAAACATTTCATGGAAACTTCCGCTTACACAGTGTCTCTAATCAAATCTCAATTTACTCTGCTGTCAATTTTTCTCTCTCCTACATTTGAAGACTCAATGAGAGGAGCTGCTAATGGGACAGAGTTCTGAACAGCAAGGAGCACCTAGCTGGTAATGCAGGAAGTACTGGGAAACGTGGAAATGTGATGTCGGCAAACGCCGTTCCCCCAAGGCCTTTATGGGCTTACATATCCAGCACTCACTACCCCTCTGAGCTCATCTCTAACCACTCTGCCCTAGTCACTTCACTCCACCTGCATCAGCCTCCTTGCATTCTTCAAACACACCCAAGCATTATTATGTTTATGTAACATGAGTGCTTCATGGCCTTTGCACTTACTGTTCCTTTGTTTAGAACACCCTTCTCCCACATATATCCACCTGGCTCCCTCTACTTCTTTCAAATCTCAAATCAAATGTCACTGAGGCCTTCCCCAACATATCTTTATATGAGAACAACCCAACAGACACTCCTTATAGCCTTTATTCTGATTTTTCTCCAGAGCACTTTTTACTACTTGGTATAACTAGAGAGTGTTTATTTGCTACCCTTTTCTAACTAGAATGTAAATTCCAAGGCAGAGGTGTTTTTGTTTTCTTTTCTTTTTAATT